GATTATTCAAGGAGGATTAAAAATGTTAACCTGTTGAATGGATCATTTAAAAAGCATAGCCAACTAGTTTGACATCTGACATCCCTTATCTAAAATGGAAGGTTGGGCTTTGGGGTTAGGAGATCTGAAACCAAATTCCAGCCCCTCACTTTCACGAGGTACATTCTGTGAGCTTGCCTCTATAAAAAAAATGGAGCAGTTTTTAGCTACCTGGAAGGATCTCTGTGACATTTAAATAAGACCCCACATCAGGTAGTTACGAGCATAGGTCCTGGCACACAGTAGGCCAGGTATCAGTAAACCTTGGCAATCTTCCTCTGAGGACCTTACCATCCCACAGGAGACAGAAACCTCCATTCCCCAGCAGCTCTGAGAAGGGGAAGAGCTGTGGGACTGCCCAAAAGGACAAATCAGAGCCCTCTGGCCAGGTTTCCTCTGCTGCGTGAGTGGCCGCCACAGGAACCAGCCCCAGCACAGTCCTCACCATTTTCACAAGCCGGGCCTTGCCAGTGGTGGCTCCGGGGTCCAAATGTCACAGGACATTGATATGGGATTTCTGGGTGTGGCTGATCGGGGACGTATTCCCTCCAGCTTCGGTCGTGGGATGGCATCATGTAGTTATGAACCTGCTAAAGGAACATGAGGGAGGCGCTAAGATGAAAGCAACCAGCTGGGCACAGAGCAGAAAGCGAGCGGGCTCCGTTATAGCCTTTCATACTCATCAGGGAGTCTCTTATTTGGCTGGCAGTGAAATCACTTTATCATCTGAAAGACTTTGGAGTGCATAGCTCATCACACTAGGTGAAAACTAGCCGTAAAGAATCAGAAAAGCACAATGGACACAGTGTTGTAAGTCATGATTTATGGAAAGCTTCATCATATGGTTAAACCTGGCACCAAAAGCACTGTAAGGGGGTTTGCCTGTTTCCCACCAAAGGGAGTACAACAGAGCTGTAATTCACACCAGAAAAGTCTACAGACATCAGCTGCCCTGTGGTTTCACATGATAGAATACAACTTCCAAAATGTTCAACTTCTATAGGTCTGTTTCCCAGAAGATTTCAGAATCAGTAACAGAAGTCAACTCCACCAGGCAGACATACACCCACCCCTGCAACTACTTGAAACCAATGCTGATAGCAAAACCAGGTGGAAAGTGAGACATTCATTCAATGACCAGAGATTTGTTTTGGCTGTTTGACTAATAGCAAAAGCGAAGTTATGCTGTTTTTGTGCATTTTCCCACTGTGTGGCCTCACACAAACCCAGCCTTCCCTTCTAGAAGCTCTGCACTGTTCACCATACCTGAGCTGGGAGCGAGGTGTAAGGAGTGGTCATGGTGTATGGGTGGCTCATGGTCATCTGTGTGTCCTCCATGGTGAGCTGCTTTGCTCCTGTGTGTTTGTGCAAAAGGGAAATGGCCCAGTGTGAAAAAAGGAAGTGACATAACTAAACATCAAATGTTAGAAAAACGTCTGAGGATTTAATTCCTAGAATGCATAACAAACACAGTGTTGACAATTAAGGCATTTTCCAGCAATTCCCTTGGGCAATTATTTGTTCATTCCATTAAACTGGTATCTACAAGGTCTAACTTATTTATGTAGGACAGGTAGAGAAATAAATGGAATGCTGTGTGTGAATGCGCCTTGTGACATAAAGGGCCCCACCAGAAAAACGTTCTGCAAGTGAGGTCACCTGTATGGTTTGATTAAAATGCAGAGTCCTGGGCTCCACTCTGACACACTGGTCACAATCTTGGAAAGAGGGAATCTGAATTTTAATAAGCATCCCAGCTGACCTTAATAGACTCAAAAAGTTGACATTTTTATTACTATAAATAGTAACATATATGTATGCTTCCCATCTACAAAATGGTTAATCATGAAAGACTAATAAATAAGTAAAGCTTTGAACAAGTTTTCCATTTTCTGTTTGGAAATTTGGCCCATACCTTAATAGGACTAACTAGAAAACACACACATGTGCACATAGCAGATGCCCACACACGTATGTGCATGCACACACACCCTGGTAGAGACTTGGAGTCTGAGAAAGTATCCTACACTAACACAAGAAGTTCAATCACTGGCCCAGAGGACTTGGAAAATGAGCCTGCTGGATTCAACATGAGGCAGATGATGGCAGACAGGCTATGAAAAACCAAAAATAGAAAAGTGAGCCTCAGAATGAAATGAAGAAGGTGTTACAAGTGTCAGACCACCACTATTCTTGACCCACACCCAGGAAGTCCCACCTTTTTTGGCTCCCTCAGGAACAATTCTGTAGACTTTGTAGGGGTCTGAGATATCCAGTTGGCTCCTCTCAACCAGTTCCTCAAAGTCATTGCTCTTATTCAAAGCACATCGTAGACGTGTCTTCCAGGTAGGAGGATCTGGCTTGTCAATGCCTTCGCGGAACTTTCCTTTAAATAGAGCCCAAGCCTGGTAAGAAGGAAGAGGGAAAAAGTTAAAAATACGTCTTTTTAAAAAGAATCTGGCAATTGTATTTCTAAAGAAAATAACGGTGCTTAGGTACTTCAAATTTAAACTGTAGCTCAAAAGGTAGGACAAAAATATACCAAGTGTCCTTTATGTAAAATACTGTCATCTTGGTCTCTATCATGGCTGCGTTGAAGAGAAGTGGTTTGAACATTCTGTAAGTATTTGTAAAATGTGGGTAATATGTGGAGGACCACTGGCAAAGGCCCTGCCCACCCAGTTTCTGAAATGGGTTTGATTGTAACTAGGGACAGGGCTGTGGGATAAGCTGCTACCCACAGAGTACATCTGAACTGTCAGACAATCTGAGGTATTCTGAGTGCAAATTCCCTAAGGAAGTCCCCTTTTGCCTGTTCTGCCCACAGGTGGTGGGGCTGGGCACAGTTCACTGGGTAAATTGCTTTAGGGGAAAACAATCATGACAGGGACACACACA